GTAACACTGAGGAGCTCAGTTACTTGTCTACCAGGGCCACACAGCTGGAAGGTACTAGAATTAGGATAAAATTGTAAGGCAGAAGTCCTATCTCTTGAGTATTTAAAACAGTTTTTAAAACAGATGTAATCACAATAGAATAGATATATCTTGTCTATATTTTAATGATTTTACACACACTTGTGTACTCAGACGTGCCTGTGTAACCTCCCAGATCAAGACACAGATCTGTCACCCCACGTTTCCTTTATGCCTTTCCCCCAGACGTCCTTATCCTTCCCCCAAAACAGTCATTATTCTTACTTCTGCCACCATGGAGGTGTTTTAGAAGTATTTGAACATCAGATAACTGGAACCATACCGTTTGTAGTTTTTGTATTTGACTTCTTTTCCTCATCATATCTGTGAGATTCTTTCACGTTGAGGTGGCATGGAGAAGTAGTTGGTTCTTTCTTGTTTTTGAGTGGTGTTCCATTGTTGAAATATTCAGTGCCTTATTTTACTGATAGGTATTTTCGTTGCTGCAATCTGGGGCAATTATGAATAAAACTGCAAATGTTCTAGAGTGTACCATTTGGTGGACATAAGCTTAATGACATATGAGAGGTGGGACTGCTAGATCACACATTTAGTTCTAGTAGATAATGTCAAAGTGGTTTTATCAGTTTATTCTCTCACCAGCAATGTTTGGGTCCCAGTTGCTTTATGTTCCTGCTACCACTTGGTATTGGTGGTCATATTCATACTGTTCATTTTGATAGTCAGGAGAGTGTTTGTTGTATCTCACTGTGGTTTTAATTACATCTCTCTAATGACTAACAGTTTGGTTTTCTGCTTCTTATGCTTGGTAGCCATTTGAATGTCTTCTTTCATGAAGTCCCTAGCAAGTCTTCCATTGAGTTGGATTGTTCATTTCCCCCTTATTTATTTGCAGGCATTCTTCACATATTTTGGATGTAAGTTTTGTTGGAGATATTTATTAGAAATACCTTTTCTCATTCTCATTTTCTTTGCGTGTGTGTGTGTGTGTGTGTATGTGTGTGTGTGTATGTGTGATTAATTCTGTGGCCTTTACACTAAACTACATCCCTAGGCTCTTTTTTTTTTTAAATTTTGAGACAGAATCTCAAAATAGGCTAGGCTTGAACTTGCAGTCCTCGTAGCTCAGCCCACCAGAGTGCTAGGATTATGGGTATGGGCCACTGTGGCTAGTTTAATATTATCCTTTGATGAATACAAGTTCTCATTTGGATGAAATTCACATTGTCCTTTTTTTTTTTTTTTTTTTTTTTTTGGTGGAACCAGGGATTGAACTCAGGCCCTTGCACTTGCCAGGGGAGCACTTATTCCACTGAGCCATCTCCCTGGCCCCTCATTGTCCATTTTTTTATGAGTGCTTTTTTATGTTTATAGGGGAAAAATCATTGTCTTTTTTATTTCTTGAACATTTTGAAATACAAAAAATATGGAGAACCACTTTTGTGGGAGGTATAAGTCCCAGTCACATTGGGTGCTGGTGGCTTTTTTTTTTTTTAATTGGTATATGTTTGGGATACAAAGTCCTGTTTTTTGGTTTGTCATCTACAGTAGTATTCTGAGCTTTCATATTTATGAAGGACTTTCAGTTTACAGAGGTCTTTGTCTGTCTATCTCATTTGATCATGTGCAGGGACTCAGTAAGTTATTGCAGGAGTGGATGGTCAGGTTTTTTTTTTTTTTTTATGTGTTTAGTACGGAGTCTACAGGGTCGCACGATACAGATCGGACTCATAGTGATCCTCCTGTTTTCAGCCTCCCAAGCGCTGGAATTACAGACAGGCACCACATGCACAGTCTCAGCACACCCTGGGGGCGGGGCTGGGGGTGTGGCTGGGGCTGGGCTGGGCGGGGCCAGCATGGCTTGTGGTGGCAGGTGCTTTAGTCCACTGAGCTATCTGGCTCCCCCCGCTTTAAATGTATTTAGTTCAGGGTCTACAGGCACTCACTACACAGATTGGACTTGTGTGATCCTCCTGTTTTCAGCCTCCCAAGGGCTGGGATTAGGTTAGTTGACACTAGAGGACTTGGCTCAATAACATGAACTCCTGGGGACTATGGGACCTTCACAATTGCTGTGCCGTTTTGCACAAGGGGTGAGAGATAGATTCACTGTGCTCATATCATGGCTCTGTAACTTGCTAAACACAGTGACAGGTACATGCTACTGGGCTATTGCAGTTGTTCTTTTATTATAGTGTCTAATAGAGTAGCAATTCTTTGTAGAGCTAGAAAGAGCTCTGATCATTTACTCCATTTCTCTTGCTTTATTTTATATTTCCCTTCCTCATTCCACACCAATCCCCCACCCCATGGTTTTTGCTGTCAAAAAACACGTGCATTTCAAGTATGTAAACCAACAATAGGAGAAAGTAAAAATATGCTGTCTTATAGGACTAGTATGGAAAACCTTTGCTGAAGGTTTTGTTTTGAAGGATGCTGGTAAGTAGGGGCATAGGAAGGGAAATGCCAAAAAAAAAAAAAAAAAAAAAATACTGCTTAATTCCGAAATAAAGGATATTGACCCTTTCACCTTGGTTCTAGGAAACTCACATGGAAGTAAGGGATTTGTGTAATATTGATTTCAATTGTAAGAAAGGAAAAGAAGCAAATGATTGTTTTCCAGATGCTTAGAAAGACTGGTACTACATCCAGTGTATCTTCATGAAAGCTAGGAAGAGATTATGTGACCTGGGGTAGGACTGAAATTAAATTTGCTAAATCCACTTCATCCACCATCTTGCACCCCACCCCCACACTCTACCCTAAAAGGAGAACCAGACCACGTGTGTGTGTGTGTGTGGGGGGGGGAGATTTGTATTTTGATATATTTTCTTGAAATAAAAACAGATCCTGTTGACTTTCCCAGTTACTGAGGCCAAGGGGCCCACCCTTCACACCCTCTCAGTTTGTCTGAACTTCCTCTTTGTGGCTCTGGGTGAAAATTTCACACTGTGTGCCATGAAGTTGATGTGACATCTGCGAGGCCCAGAGGTCTTGGTAGGCAGCTCTTGTACTCTGACTGTTTCCTAGCAGGAAGTGAACTGGAGACATGTTGTCTCCATGACCCCAGTGTAGAGAGGAGAGTAACTTGCTGCCAGAGCAGGGACACCAGCAAAGAAAAGGGAGGGGGTGGAGCAAGCAGCTAGGACACGAATCCCAGACTTAACTGTGCATACGAATCTGGGGAGCTAGTTGAAATCCAGCCAGGAAATTCAGATTCAGTAAGGCAGAGTTGCGGATCTCCATTTTCCTGGGTTACCCGATTTGAAAACAAGTACAGATATATAAAGACCTTGAATAACAAAAATCCAGGTTTAGAGACTGGTGAGTTTTTCAGTAACCTGTAGATTCAAAGCCCTCAGTAACATTTTGCTTGGCTTTTTGAAAGATGAAGGGGGAGAATCAACTTACCATGTCCCCAAGCCAAGGGTAGTTTTGTGGAGCCAAGGCCATCAGCATAGGGAGTCTAGCACACTCCCTAGACTGATGGTGGGAAATGGATATTGGAGTCTGAGGGTACAAATGTTTGAAAAGAGAGAGAGAGCCATTGAAGATGCTCGTGAAGAGAGGAGCTGTTCTATCTTTGGAGTCTTTTTTGTGTTATGAAGTCAGTGCCAAGTGCCCTTCACAGGCTTTCTCCTACCCCCCAAACACTACCCAGTCTCTTAGCCACCTCACTTTGTACACACTCATCCCCTCCATCAGAACTGCTACCCTGCGCCCCCTGTAGCCCCAACCCTTTCTTACTTACATAATCACATCTTTGAAAATGTCTTTCCTTAGGCGATGTTGAGAGATGATCAATGAAAAGATGCAGATGTGGAATTTAAAATAGGTTAAACATAAGCAGGCCCGTCTTAGAACTAAGGAAACCGGCCAAGCATGGGGATTGTAGTTGGGTGAGAACAAACAGGCTTGTGGAGTTTTGGTGTTGTGCACACTCCTCAGCAGGATTCATGGATTTGATGGCAATCAGAGTTTAGTTCTCACTCAGTAGATCTCTTCCTACCTTTTGGGGTTTTAAAAACTTTAAATATGACGGTTAAAAATCAGTAATTCTTAACTTTTGAAGGGTAACAGTCCTCTTTTGAGAATCTGGACAGTTTGAATTATTTTACCAGAAAACCACACATATATTTGAAGGGGAAGTGGTTTATGAATAATCTGGGATCCATCTGTGGACCTTAAATAAAGAACACCTGCTTTGCTTAGCATGTGACCTTCTCCTGAGGTCATTTTTATGGCATAGTCTCCTTTTCTTGTGGAGTATATTGGTAATGGGCACTCCACAAGAGCCACTTGGTATTATGTGTTTGCTTTTGGAGAGTTTATGTTTAGTTGTAAAAGATGGTATATTTTAGCCAGAGTGGGAAGACCGAGTGCCCATAAAGTGCTTGTCTCCTGATACGGTAAGTATTCATTTAAAAAAAAAAATACTACATATACTCAATATAATCATAATTACAAAGCCATTTAACTCTATAAAACTTCTCCTTGTTGAAAGCAGTTTGGAAGCAAAGACCTAGATATTAGGAAGCCCAAAGACCTCTAGCTTTTCCCTCTTTTTTTCCCCCCTTAGTCCAGTAATTCAATTCACAATAGATGTTTATAGCATTCCTCCTGTGAGTAAAGCACTGTAGTATTCTGGAGAATAGAGATGAATAAGATTTCTAGGAATGAACAACATCTACAGGAATCATACAATTTATCTGTGTTCCCTGCCTGTGTCTTCTATGTTTCTTGCCTCTAAGGGAGGTTTGCTCAGGGAGTAGGGTTTGGGAAGGTAGCTTTGCATTCTGAAACAGGAAGCTGGCTTCGAAAAGCCAAGTGATGTGTCTTTCTTCATGTTGTTGACTTCAGCTACTTCTAACACTGATTGAGTATTTCTTTAAGGTTTTACCTTTGTCAGTCTCTCTCCCTATGGCACTGTGTTCATATCCGTGTCCTTCCTTTCTCCACAGGCCAGGGGTTATCACTATGCAGGCATTGTCAGAAGAGGACCGGAGGCTCTGGATGGAAGCCATGGATGGCCGGGAACCTGTAAGTAACAATTCAGGGAAGTAGAGCAAGAATAAAGATCCTGAGCTGTTTGTTGGATCCCTAGTGCAGTAATTTGTGCTGCTGCTCCAAAGCCTTAGTCTTTCGGACCAGTACCAGTGGTAGTTTTTTATTCCTAAATTGATGTTTATGTTTAAGTATAGTTTCTGAATTTGTACCTCTCAATCCTAAGGCAGAAGTTTTGCATGATGTTACACCAAACTTGCCTTTTGAAAAGGCAGGTGTAATGCCCCTAGGTTTTTTAAAGGAGGCAAAATCCAATCTGGCATACTAAGTTTTATTGGCCATACAATGCCTTCATGAAGTAGGGTACCTTTTAATGAGATAAAGAATTATAAAAGCATGTGCACGTTGTGTCACATCTCTCATCACTGCTTTTTGGTTCGGTCTCCTCTTTCCCTAGTGACTTAGCTCTTTAGAAGCCATAAGACATGGTTAAGGTCAATGGAAGGAGTTAAGCCTGGAGATAATATCTGTGTTCCCATTTCAGAGTTGCTGGCCTCAGCTGGGTGATGTAATCTTGTGGTTTTTCTGCATCTTGTGGCATGTAAGAACCCATGTGAGAGCCCTTGGGAAAGTCCCTGCACAGTCTTCTTATCTTGGTGCTAAGGACCTCAACCCCATTGCTTAACAATCTCAAGGTTACAAAAATTCTAGAAGTACTTTACAACCTAGCTGTGTTTCACCAATAAAAGACAAAAAGACTCTGCAGGGCTGGGAGGCCAATGACTGATGCTGACAAAAGCACTGTCCATTTGGGGATGTATGCAAAGGATTAGCAGGTCCTGGCCTCCCCCAACTATAGGACTCTGTGCATCCAGTGTAGACAGTCTCTTTCTCAGCCACCCTGGTGAAGTGCTCTAGCAACACAGATTCTTGTACTTTTTTCCTCAGCTATATTCCACATAAATGAAGGACTTGATTCATCAACTAAACATAGACAAATAAGTACTGTTCACACACATTTAATATAGAGCAAGTTTTAAAGAACTATCCAAAGATTTGAATACAGTTGGCTAAACTGTAATGAAATATTGTTCAATCTTAAGTTTCCTCCTGGACTAAAACATGAGACACCCTTGGTTTTCTCTGAATAGGTTGCTACTTGTAGAGATGTTCTGAAGAGCAGGTGCACATTTCTACTTTGAGGGTTTAGGGGGCACTGTTGTTGTTTGGTAACAGAGGCCTTCAAAAGCAGCTTCTGGAAAGTCTTTATGTTTGCTAGCATTGTCCACGCTAAGTTTAAGCACTTTAGTGTGCATATGTTTGTGTTAGGGGCAAGAATGGGTATGTTACAACCCTTAATTCTATTTCTCTATGAGATAAAAAATTATTTCACTTTATGGATGAGGTAACTGAAGTTTAGAGAGGTTAAACCTTTTGTCCTAAGTTGCATAGGCACTAAATGGCTGTATACTAGGGTACAAGCTAGATTGCTATAAATGAACTCCATGGTATAGTAATTTAAGGAAGATAGAAGTGTATTTATTTGTCTGTCAGAGCCTAGAACTGAGCACAGTGGCCCTGACCTGGCAGGGTCATGCTGGCATCCTTAATCCATGACTTCCTAGGTTGCCATAGTTATTGCCATTTTCCACCTGGAAATGGGCCTGGAAACATCCAAGGCAAACATGTGGAAGGATCCAGAAGTGTTCACATCACTCCCATTGACCCAAACATCATGATTTGGCCATGTCTGCACTGGGAAGTCTAGAGTGCTCTTAGGCAGTGCGACCCCCACATACGCTGCACATCTCAAGGAAGAAGAGAGAGGGTGCTGTGGGTGGTGCATCTCCACCATTTATGGCACGGGTAGAATTTGAACTCATGTTTGTCCCTAGATGAATTTGTTATGCATGTTTAGTAGCAATAACACTGTCAACTTGCTATACAGAAATTCTAGCTCCATTATTTTTACAGACTTCTTCTGACTCTCTAGAATGATCCTTCACAGCCAGGGTGAAAACCTTGTCATGACATGCTACTCTTGGTATGGGTTAGAGGGTCCTGCTCCCGTTTCCCCCAGTCTGCTGGAGTTCTAAACTGCTTCATTAGCTCTATTTTAAGCTTCCTCTTCTACCCCCACTATCACTTGATATTTGTGCTCTGTCTGTGTCTAATTGAGCTCGTACTAACCACTTCAGTTTTCCCACAGATTAGCATCTGGCCTCTGTGAATGGAAAGTGCACCAGAATGTACATACTAAAACAAGTTTCAACATAAAATAATTTCATGTCTAACCATGTTATAAAATCATTTAGTTTCCTGAAGAGGTGAGAAAATGCAGGCAAAGATGACTGGATAACTGACAGTAACCCTAGATGTAAATTTTCTCTCCCATTGCTGCTGGCCTCTAGGGGACATTGCTGGAGATATAGGCCTGATCAACAATTAGCAGCTCCATAGTTAATCACGATCTCTAATTAGTTTAATCTGTTCCCTTGGGAGTTTTGGCTTTGTTTAGTTTTTTCTCTAGCTAGTGCTAAAGCAGTTTTCTCATTTCAGGGAGCTATTAATGGGGGGGGGCCTCCCTTCTCTTTTTGTACTTCTCAGATGTCCTGTGGCAGATAATGGATTGTTAGAAATCAATTTGGTGTCCACTCTTTTTGCTTTTTCCTTGTTTAGTAACGCCCTCGGATGGTTGGTTAGGACAAACAAAACCCTAAATGAACTCCAAATCAGTTGACTTTTTTTTTAGTAACATTTTAATTCACTGTTATATAAATCAGTTTTTTAGCACACAGTCACATTCTAGTCTAGAGAAATATTGAATGCTTTATCTAGTATTGATAGACAAGTTAGAGAAAGAAATTAGAGTTAATGATATTACATTGAGCATTATGAATTTTATCTGTGTAGTGAATCTGAATTATTTTTGTTGAAGGAAATTCAGTTTTTTTCTTGAAAAAAAGCTAGGTTAATCGGGTTATGTAACTGACAAATCCTAGGGTATAATAGTTTCTGGCCAGTCCAAAACTGGTAACTTACGTAATATTTGGAGTTGGTCTTTTTTTGTGCTGGTTTCACTTTCTAACATGTTCCTTCCATGAAGTGTTGAGATGTTTCCTAACTATTCCAGACTTACATCTTACTATTACAATCTAGGACCAACAGACTTTCTGAAACTGGGTAGATAGTATTCCAGGATTTTTGGGTCATGTAGTAACTGGTATAGCTATTTAACTTTGTTGTATTGGCCCAGAAGCAGCCATGAACAATATGTAACTAAATAGGTATGACTGTATTTCAGTAAAACTTTATTTATAAAACCAGATGGCAGGGTGGTTTTTGGGTCACAGGTCATTGTTAATTCGTGATTTAAGTGTCACGGAAACAGAACTTTTGCAAAACAATTCCAAAGAAGTTCCATATTTGAATTTTATTGAACTAAATACTTAGTCCAAAGGAGGGGAAGTAGATGCACTGATTAGATCTTATGCACTTGACCTTTGCATTGGGAAGGTTGGCTTTCTCTGAGAGAAAAAGCAGTGTTTTATGGGTAGGGGCAGACCTGAGATAGGGAAAACATGTATAGTTTCTTATAGGGAAAACATGTATAGTTTCTTCTTACTCTAAGACCTATGTTACATGAACTTTTGTACTCATGGAGTTTTTTCTTTGATATTTAGCCAAAAGTGAAAACCATATGTTTGCCACAAATATGCTACTTAGCATGAAAGACTGTAAATGCTTTCTCCCTAAGACTGGGGACAAGCAGAGGGTTTCAGTTTCATAACCCTTTTTGAACATGGTGCTGGAAGTCCTAGGTGGTATTGTAGTCTAAGAAAATAATTTAAGTGGTATACAAATTGTAAGGAGATATAAAACTGCCCTTGTTTACAGATACCATGAATTTCTATGTAGAAAATTCTGCAGAGTCCAGACCAAAAATTCTTTCCAGAGTTCACAGATGATGTCACCATGGTAATGGGATATGATACCCACCCCCATCAATCACATTTTTGTAACTTCACCATAAACATACCGTTATCAAAGTTGAAAGCATAACATTATTTATAGTCACTAGTTCCCAAAATGAAATACTTAGGTATAATTCTAATTATATACTGAAATTAAAGCATGATGATAAAAGATCTAGATAAATAGACATATTATGTTTATGGATTGTAAGAATCCATGAATTGTAAAGATGTCAGTTCTCTCCAAATTGATCTATAGGTTTCATAGAATTCCTATCAAAATCTCAGCAAGATTTTTTTTGTAGACACAGATAAGCTTATTCTAAAATTTGTATGTAAAGGTGCAGAAACTAGAATAGCTAAAATAATTTCAAAAAAAGGAATGAAGTGGGAGTAATCATGCTGTCCTATTTTAAGGCTTTCTTTATGGCTGCAATAATCAAGACTATGATATTGACAGGAAGATAGACATATAGATCAATGGAACAGAATAAAGAACCCAGAAATAGATTCACACAGATATGCCCAATTGATCTTAGGGAGAGGCGTAAAAGCAAATCGATGAAGGAAAGATATTTTTTTGAACAAATGGTACATGGTAAAATAATGGATCTTTATAATCATTCCTCAAAGAACCTTGACCTAAAGCTTATATCTTAAAAATTAATTCAAAATGTGTCATAGCTTTAAGTGTGAAGTGTAAAACTGTAAAACTTTTAGAAAAATCTAGAAGAGAGAATTATGAGGATGTAGGGTTAGATCTGATACCATGAGTGTGACCCATAAAACTTAAAAATGGAAACATTTTTCCTTAGAAAAACTAAAAAACCTTTGCTCTGGGAATGAAACATTCATGAGAAGGATAAAAAGATAATCTACAGAGTGGAAGAATATATTGACAAAATATTGGGAAAGTGTGTATCTGATAGAGGACTCTTAAAACAAGAGAGCAAACATCCACATATGAAATGGACGTAAGGCACAAAACATTTTGCAGCAAGCACATACAGCTGACAAAAAGAAAAGTATGTGGAAACATGTTCAATACCATTATTCATTAGG